ACAACTGAAATATCCGTGGGGCCATGGACTCCTAGGCCAAAGTCTCAAATCGTGAAATTAATTTCCAAGCAGATCACTCTGGTCTCACATCAGTCAAATGTATCTTCAAAGATAACAAAGTCTTGATTAGGAGTTAACAGAACGGTGAATGATCTATTATAATCATAGTATATCCAAATTTTATTATTTTAAAGGTCTTTTACTCAAGTGTTGCAAAAAATTAGTGGTAAAGGAAACACAGAGCTCCAAGATTAAGCAAGCTTCTCATCATTTTTGTCACCTTTCGCTCATAGTATTGGCATTTTGTTGGCCACTATTCGACTGTACGTGATTAGACCAACAAGAGTACGACTACTTATTAGAGTTCTAGTAGATCAATGTTCTAAATGTTTCATTATCTTTAATGCTCTCTGTGACATTTTTAATCTTAAACGTTAACATTCGAGTATTCCACTTTCTGATTCTGGTGGCGTTCTCGTGATGACTGCCAAATAAACAGTCACTTTTGACATAAGACCTAGCTTTCCATCTCAATTCAAGATGCTTATAGAAGCGAAGGTTTTGTTCCAAGTTTTCTCTTATTAACCATGAGTTAATAAATTAAGAATTCATCATGTCAATTCAATAGAAATCCAGAACTAAAAAGTTTGTACGTGCAGTTCATGCATAAATATTTAGATTTAGGACACATGTGTAAAATTAATTCTGACTAAAGAGTGTTAACATCTGCCACATCCAAGCGTTACGAAGTTCTTCAGCACTGTAACAAAACTGTATACTGTTTTTAATACCTCGGCTACGGTTAGTTCATGCATTTCTCTAAATGATCTGCTCTACACTTGTCGAAATTAACTTCCGAATTTTTTAAATCTCATTTCTGAGTATAGAAATTATGAGTTTGTATTCATTTCAGATATAGATAAAACGTTCTGTCAAGTCTGGATGAATGAATAATATCAAAGGTATCATTGCGTATGATAGCATTTTGATTCTTCAGAGGCTGTAATGGTTTATTCTTTAAAAACAGTCACTTATGGTTTAACTTGCTCATCCTTTTAGTGTCTTGCATGTTAATGCAATAAAATGTTGATCACAGTGAATCTTATCTGCTGGCCTTGTTAGTCTTAAGTAGTAAAATATACTTGGATAATGTTTTATCACGCGTCTATATCTCTTGTTCAGTATCCTCAGTGTCCATTCTTTTTTTGTCAACGTGCTGCGAGCAAACATGGCAAAAATACGCGTCGGCGGAACCGTGTCATCGGTGATCGAAAACGAGGACAGTGTGGACGTGCACTACAAACATCCTTCACACATACTTTACACACATACACACACACAGAGTTTTGTTCATACTAAGAAGTTGTTTGTATCTCAAATTTTCATCGGTTGTTCGTTCGTCCAGGGGGTTTTCTCTTTGGAGTTTCCTCTTTTGAGTCACAAATATATCTTCATTGTGGCTCATAAACAGTGTCTTTTTTTATTTTACCTGATGTCATCCCTTCCTCTGTCATAAGATAAAGTTAGTGAATTTCATGAATCTCAAGTCGAGTAAGTTTGATTCTTTCTTGAAACGCGCGTGAAATTTAGTGTCTTTCTTAGTGTCTAATTAGTTTATGTAAATCTGTGTATTAGCCCTAGTTATAGCTAATTTTGATCTTAACGTAACCCATCAATTTTCTTAGGTAGCCCATTTATATCGCGGTTTCCCCCATATCCGTTAAAAGTAAAAAGTCAGTCGGCGACATCACATAGACGCAGTCGATAGGACAGCAGAGGGCCGTACTCTGCTAAATATTATCTCTTCAATAACGTAATTTTACAAGATTTTCTATTAATTTGGGTGAAAAATACTCTACCTGATTTTTATTTAATACGTCACTTAGACTATGCTGTAGCAACTCCACACGAGCCGTGAGTGCACATCCAGCACATCTTACTCGTCCTAAATAAGGAGAGACTTTTACTTGTCCTACTCCCATGCTAACGTACTTACCCTCACACTCTGTCCACCATCACAAGAAACTCTACATTACTGATTTTCTCTCTCTCTCTCTCTCTCTCTCTCTCTTATCTACCCTGCTTGCTTTTGTTTTCTCTACACTTACGCGCTCTCTTTTTATTATTCTACTCTATTCAAAGGAGCTACTTTCTCTTTCTCTCTCTCTTCCTTTCCATCTATCTGGTCCTGGGCTTAAATAAAAACTACTTGGACGAAAAATCTCTTATTTCACAGCTACAATTGGGCTTTAGGTGAAAGTACAGTACCCAATCGGCTCTGATAAGGGTTTTCGATGATATTCATTCTGGTATGGGCCACAGCTTGGTGACGCTATTAGCGGTCTTCAGTTTCCAACGGGCTTTTGATACTATTAGCCATGTGGCCCTTCTCCGTTCGTTAGTGAGGTTTAATTTCTCGGCTGGTGCCATCAGATGCATATACTGGAGTGATCGATCATAGGCAGTTTTGCAGCTGGATGGTTCTCCTACTTACTCGCACTGTGTGACATCTGGTATTCCCCAGGTCTCCTCTCCTGGCCCAATATTATTTTTGATGCTCATCAATGCAGTGCTATCCGTCTTGCGGTTTTCTACGCTATTTGCAGACGATCTGCAAATTTATATTAAATGTAAGCCAGTAGATTCAGATGTGGGTGTGGATCAGATGAATTTAAATATCCGGTCTGTGGTAGAGTGGTCGAGTGAATGGGATCTACAATTAAACGATAAAAAGATTCGCGCGTCGTTTTTCGCATTACCCCAGCAGTAACAACGCTTGGACAGGGCATTGGTCCCGGATATTTTGATTGGGGACTGTGTTATCCCTTTGTCCCAGAAGGTAAAGAGCCTGGGGGTTATTATTTCAAAGGATCTGTCGTGGAACCGCCAAATCTCAGCAGTATGCTCGAGGGTGCATGGTGTCCTGCATCGTGTTCGATTTAAGGGTGGTACTTTGACCTCTTCACTACGCAAGTTGTTGGCTTGTGCATTATTACTGCCCCACTTTTTTTATTGTTGCCTGGTTTATGCTAATGTGGTGAGATATCTTGAAATTAAGCTAAAACGACTCCTTAACTCGGTTGTTGGGTACATTTTCCATCTGAGAAGGGACGCAAAGATTAAGCCTTTCTATAAGAAAATTGGCTGGCTAACACTTTCCTCACGTAGAAACTATTTGAATTCAGTTACTTTATATTGCATATTAACTACTGATAGACCTACTCATCTAAAAGACTTGTTTAGCTCGACTCATAATCTGCAAAGATCGGAACGAAGTACTGCGTCGGGTCTTTATAAACCTTTCTACCAAAATATATGAGCAATCATTTACAGTATCAGCAATTGCACTTAGAAAAAAACTTCCACATCATGTTAAAATGTTAAAAACTCTTGCAGTATTCAAAAAGACTTTATTATCATTCTTGTTTTCAAACGAACAGATTTAACCCTAAAAGCTTAAGTTAATGTGATATCGCTGTTATTATTTTAAATTAGATTTACGCGCTTAGTTCTTATAAGTAATTTAAAATGTATGAGCACATTACATTATATTATATTGTACATACATTATATTATATTGTAATTATAAGTATCAATGTATAGAATATAAGTCTTTTTGTAACTATGCCATCGGGAGCTTTGGCCCTTGGCTTAATAAATCCTCGTTATCAATAAATAAATCGCTAGCCTTACTTGCTGGTCAAACGTCAGTGATTCCTGACCAACAAGATGGCGTTCAGGGTCCTTGAGCAGGTCGCTTCTTCTGCGGTCTTACTTTTTGATGGCCACCTTTAGAAGCACAAGTTCTGACTCACTGTATGTAAGCAAACACAGATAACAAAAAGTATCTATTTTTCAAATAAAAATGACGTTGCACCCCTTTAATCTTAATTTTGACACATTTGTAGCCGGTTTCAAAAACTGATATGTCTAATACATATACATACAGACGATATAGGTAGAGTCAATAAAAATTTACACATGTTTACTTTTTTGTTTTAGGCCTGTTGTACTGTTGCTCAAATAGACTAGCTGGTGTTCCTACTTTTTCATGCCCAAATTCTATTATGCAGCATTAAAATTTTAATGACTAACATAAATGTTTTAATGATTTTTTTATTCAATGCCCATATTCAAAATAGCAAACTAAAAGCTTAAATAATATACTCTCATTCGAAGCTCAGCTACGCTTCAACATAACATTTCTATGTATGTAAATTTTTTTAGTCTGCTAACACGAAAATGTCTTACTCAAATATAATTTTTTTTCGATGATTTTTTGCAGCAAAAAATACGGTTGATAGACGAATAAAAATATTTTGATTTTACTGCATCTTTGTTTTAGGTAAATAATGGTTGTCAAGCATAACTGATGAGAAATTTCCGGGACAATCGTGAAAGTTCGATAAAAAATCGTTCAATAATGCACTCTTTTATCATTGTGAGACCTTTGTGTTTTACTTTTTTATTGTATTTTTCATTAAAAGTAATATTAACTTGTACAACTTCCTTAAATTTCCAAAAAAAAAATTGTACTCGAAAATTTGTAAAGGGGTCCTTTAAATAAAGTCTTACAGCTAATTGATTGTTTGGACCAAGCTAGCTTAATGATCCTTTTTATGAGTCTAACAAAGCAGTACAGCTAAAAAAGTTAATCATATTTTACTGCAGAATAAAACTTCTTTTACGTCGTTAAAATATCGTCTAAATAAACAATTTTTTTTTAAATAAACAATAAATCTTTAACTCTATTAAAATACTTTTTAGATGACTTTATTGTAGTTGAACTAAAATAAATTTGTACGTTACAAGTAGGTTAGTTCTAAAGTTTTTTTGAAATCTTACATTCTAGTAAATGCTCAAAACTTTGAATCTGAAGTGGGTTACTACAGTTTATTATTACTTAAATTTAAAAAAAATGTAACGTAAAGTGTACTCTTGTTCTATAACAGATAAGATTTTGGAGAAAAATTCTTTAAATGAACAGATATCATACGTACACATGAACAATTAATGGGTATTGAGTGATTTCATCCTCTCTTAGTCCAGGTGGTAAATATAACTTAACTTGAGCATTATATCCTCCACTTACTTGAACGGGAAACATTTTGATTTGAGGAAAAGCCGTACTTGCAATTTTTTCCTGTAATAACGTCATGTATGTTTAAGTCCTTATAAAATAAAAAAAATTTTAATTTACTTAAAAAATAAAAAAAAGAAGTCAGTTACAAATGCTATAGGTAATCTGAAAGAATACTTAATAAGCAATTTTTAGTAAAGTAATCGGAAGAGAATTAGGTCTTATCGTTATATTTACTAAAAGTTGTTAACTATATGGATAATATACTTTAATCTTTAATTAAGTCACTGTTCAGAAGAATGTTTGAAAAAACTTAAAATGATATGTGAGCTTAATGTGAACGATTATATAGATGAGATTTTGTTTTTTCTTACATATCACACTATAAGACTTTTGTCCAAAATTAAGTAATAGAAGGACTGCCAAGTTATTAAAAACTTTTAAATGCAATATTCTGTAAGAGTTGTTATAATATACAAATTTATTGTGTTAAAGCTAATGTACACTTTTCCAAAACAGTTTGTGTACGTAATGTCATATTTTTATGTACGTAAGTAGGTATAGGATACACCTTTAATAGGATAAGAGACAATGAGGGTACATTAATACAGAGTTTGATGAATACTGCCCCCAACACATATTGCGAGATACCTTTGTAAAAGTATGTAGAGACGTATTCCGATTTGGTTTGTCCCAGAGACTCACTCATTACCCTAGTAACAGAGAGGAGTAATCACTGGTAAACGAGGCCACTATAGCCTTGTTGTCGACCATCTCGCCACATTATAGAATATTAGACATGGTACAAAGTAGAAAGTAAAAGTAAAAAATATGTACACTAGAAGGGGTTTGCCACCTCTTCACACTTTGCGCACCAAACCCTACTACTAATACAGAAAAAAAAAATCTTTTCATTCAGTGTAGGTAATAATAACGTATGAAAAGTTTTAATTTTTTTAACTGCTATATGCCTTATAAATCTACAGAAATCTGTATTAATACAGTATGTTTTGATTAGTTCTGTATAATAAACGTTATGATTACTATTAGCCTAAAATTAAAATTGGGTTAGACCTTAAACACTTAAAAAACTAGGAGCGTCATAGGTATATTTCAATTTCTGATATTCTAATAGAAAAAGGAGAGATAAGCAATTAGGTCTACAAACTGTTACTTATTCAAGTATGTGTGATGTGTTATATTGTTTTGCTTATCTTTTAGAAGAATACATGTGTCAAAATTTTAAATTGTTCTAGATTTTAATAGTATTATTTATCAAATTTTAGCTGCAATTAGCTTATTTTTATCTGTGCTTCAACTTTTTTTTTTCTTTTTTTTAAATTTCCCAATAGAATAATTTCAAAGAACTGTTTATTAAATGTTAATTTTTTTCAATGGCTATACTATCATCATGAATGTATAAATGACTTCTGAGTATGAACCTCCCGAGTAAAATATTTAATATGACAAACTTGATCTTTTTATTTTTAATTATAATATAATTTTTTTTTTCTCGTAATGCATTTGTATTAAATCTTGTGGAATCAAACGAATCATTATCAAAGTTTTTTCACTATCGAAAGTTTTCATTGTCAAATAACAGCTGTTTCATGCGTTTATTGTACCAACTTAAAGGTAGTAACATCATTCAGCGTTTGACAACAATTATTCTTGAGTTTTCCATGACTTTAATAAACTAAGAAATAGTAAAAACGTTTACGTGTAGTGAAATAAATGAGACCAAGTGTAAAAGGTCTCAGAACCCTTGACAAAAGCGAAGCTGCCTTACATATGTGGCAGCAAAACATTATCTGACATTAATTGTACCTAATGTCTGCAGATACATACAAACATATTCATGCTAAAGCATACGCGAGTGCCCACACACTAACTCACCCACACACTCCTACATAAATATATTACTGGGACAAATATCTAACAACTTAATGTCAAATATGTAATTACACCTTATTTGCTGAAAGAAAAAAGATGATAATAAAATACAAAATTAGTAAAATTGAAAAAAATGAGCAAAATGAGGATAAGTACAGAAATAGTAGTTATTTAGACAGAGTATAACAGTGTACACACAGTATTGACACAATTAGTATAAATACATTCTTACGTCAACTGATACGTGATAAAATTAATTTTTTTAGTATTGTAAAATAACTACAGAGTACGTTTGGTACTGTTTAGAGAATATTGCCTCTTCCTTAGTCTACATTTTGACTGTTTCTAAATATAGTTTCACGCTCATGTGAATTTGTATGAACTAAAATTTATTGCGTATTTAATCGATGTAATGTTATCTAAAAGTTTTGTAAAAACTCTATTAATAGTTGTCCCTATCGTGTCGTAGAAGTCTGGGGATCTTTAATTAATCTTAATTGAAATTTATTGAAATGTGTGTGTGCACTGTACACACACACACACACACGTACGAGCGCACATATACATACATGTATGAACGATATACATGGAACATGCAGCTGTATAAGTACACAGTATGACGTAGTAATACGAATACGAAGTTGGTAAGAGATCAGAAAAGACCTTGGAGCAGAGATAAGTAGAGAGATTGCTAACATCAATGCTATGGCGTAAGATAGTTTCGTTACATTGATTAAGGTGACCCACCACGGCCAGCCACCAAACCGGGCGCACATTTTTAAAGAGTGCAAAAGTCATATTAAAAAGCATACACGTACAAGAAGAAAAGTGGGGTCACGTGAAAATGAGCATATAGGCACATATTTTGGAGACACGTGAAAGTGGTATACCGAATGTGCGCTTACAATAAAGGGAGTGGATTCGCGTGGAAATAAGCATGTAAGTGCACATTTTGGAGGTATGTGGAAGGGTAGTATATTGAATGCGCACCTATGAGAAAAGGAGTGGGAATTACTATACAGCTATAAAGCTGAGCGCACAGCCAAAGCAAGCAACCACACAAGTCTTTCTTTCTGCTTCTATACTATAACCAAAAATACTTTTACTTACCTACATGCTAGTTAGTTGACTATTTTTTCAGCATTATCTATATCAATCTCATTTAATTAAATTGTAAAAGTAAATGCTCATAATTATATATACTATTTTTGGATTTCATGACATTTCTTTTTTATTTATTCCGTACTTTCAATACTTATTCTGAAATCCACTCATATTAAAAAAAAAAAAAATCAGCTTAAACCATTCTTTAAGTTCAGCTGTGATTACCAATTTATTATTTTTATCATCATAATTGGTTTAATAGCAATAGGACAAGCTCCGGAGGTTATTCATGAACACATATGACTTCTGAATCAAACGAGTCCAAAGTTTGGGTGGCTAAGATGGTTAAAGCTTATGCCACTTTTCGAATTGTTTTGTGATTCTGGTTTCGATTTCAACAATCGTCAGACTTTGTTTTTTTTTTTTTTTTTTTTTTTTTTTTCAATGTGATTCATCATTCATTTTTTTTTATTTTTTGTAATTATTTATGTTTCATTTAAATTTAAATATTCTGTTGTCGACACATTTTCGATTTGTCGAAACAAAATCTTAGACACAGTAAAACTTACCTTTATTACAATAATATCAAACATGATTATTACCAGTAAAGTAAAACAAATCCAATTAAACATACGTATTTGTCTTAGTACAATTATTATAGTTTTTGGCTCGTATTCACATTACTAATTTATATCTCGTGGTTACAATAACTTGAAACTTGCAGTATGGATTTCAAAAGAATAAAAGTATTATCGTGTGAAAAAAACATTTCAAACATCTAAATTTGCCTTTTTTTTTCATGTTCTAATTACGAAGTGGCCTGTAAGCGCTTTAGGACATCTGATGATAGGCTCTTGGCTTGTTCATTTTTATTTACTTAATTTACAAAGTGATTAATAAGCGTCCCGGGTCATCTGGTGAGGTGCTATATGTTCTTCTTTATTTGATTTATAAAATGGCCTGTATGCGCTTCGAATTATTTGGTAATAGGTGCTGGCATTGTGAGTTAATGTTTTAATAATCATTCAACTGGCTACTAGTTTTACCCCACGTTTCCTAGTGATAGGAGGTACAGTTATGTATTATATTCTTATTATTACATAAATTATCCATTACGCTTTTATATAACTTGGTTATTGTTGCTTTTGCTATTTATGCAATGCAAATAATTTGCAAATAATATAATAAATTACTGTAGCGTCTTTTACTCAGTAACCTGGGGTAGAGCTACTAGCCAGTTTAATGATTACTAAAACATTCAATAGTAACGCAAGCGCTTATTACCAAATAACCTAGAGCGCCTACAGGCCATTCTATAAATTAAATAAGTAATGACACATAGCGCTTATCATCACATGACCGAAGATGCCTACTGGTCACTTTGTAAATAAAATAGATAACAATTAACAAGCCAAGAGACTTTTAACAGACGTTCCGAAGCATTTACGGGCCAGTTTATAATTAAAACATTTTAAAAAATAACAAAAAAACGCAAATTTAGATTTGAAAAATGTTTTTTTTTCACGATAATACTTTTACTCTTTTGAAATTCATACTGCAATTTTCTATAACTCACAAAATACTGGTGTGGTCGCTTGCTTTGGCTGTGCGCTCAGCTTTATAGCTGTATAGTAATTCCCACTCCTTTTATCATAGGTGCACATTCAGTATACTACCCTTCCACATATCTCCGAAATGAGCGCCTACATGCTTGTTTTCACGCGAATCCACTCCTTTCATCGTAAGCGCACATTAAGTGTACCACTTTTACTTGTCTTCAAAATGTGTGCCTATATGCTCATTTTCACGTGACCCCACTTTTCTTCTTGTAGGTGTACGCATTTTGATATGACTCTGGCACTCTTTAAAAATGTGCGCCCGGTTTGATGGCTGGCCATGGTGGATCACCCTGATCAATGTAACAAAACTTTCTTACGCCATAGCAATGGTATTAGCAATCTCTCTACTAATCTCTGCTTCGAGACGGCAAAACTCGACTGCTTGAGAGCTTGTACAACGAATTTCAAATACTACAGCAGCAGTAGCAGCTGCAGCTATATACGTGT